GACGTCTGGCACTTCTCCCACCAGCCGAAAAAAAAAAACCCAAAATCGCAGAGAAGCTACCCGAGGAAAGGAAGCCCGAGTCAATGATTAGGCCGTTGCCACAATTCCCCTCATAGCTTAAAATCCATTTAATGCTTGAGAAAATAAATTCTGTTATAATAATAAAAATCAGACTTCTACCATCAGGTGCGGCTGGAATCTGATTCTCTCCTGGCCCACAAGGCTCCTGGGGAAAAAACAAAACAACGACAACAAGCCCCCCCCCACCCCAAAAAAACAACACACAAACAAACAAAATCCACCGCGCCCCACCATCCCTTGCCCTCATTAAAAAAGGAGAGCAAAAGTTAAGATTTATATGGCTAGAAACCAAACGAATTGATTTAAAAAAAAAAAAAAAAAAAAAAAACAGGAGAAGATATCCAAGAAGATAGGAAAAAAGAAGGAAAAAAAAGAGAGAAACCAGAACCAGGAGCAGCGAGTCAGGAGAGGGAGCTGGGGGTAGCCCGTGGGGGCAGCAGTAGGGCCGTGGTGGGGCTGGGGGGGCAGCAGAGGTGTTCCCACACAGCTCCCACGTCGTCAGCTTCTTGCAGCGCTCGCACTGGGGGACACAGGCGGCCCTCTCTGAAACGGCTCACACTGGCGCAGGGGCACAGCTCGACTCCTCATCGTTGGCAAAAAGGAATTCTGTTGGATTTTTTGTTGGTTTTTTTTTTTAATATTTTTAAATTTTTGTTTTTGGGGTTTTTTTTGTTTTTTAAAAGAAAAATACAGTGAAGACACTAGAAAGAGAAAAAAAAGAGAGAAAAAGGGAAGAGGACATTAGGAGAAAAGGCTCTTCGCAGCAATTCCAGTGCCAACAACTGGAGTATAAAAAAATAAAATAAAATAAAATCAGCCCTTTCTTCTACACTCCTGTCACCCCTCAGAGTAACCTTGTCCAGCTACTGTTGTTTCCTCTGTAAGAGGCACTCCCTAGCTGTGCACAGCCTCACACACTTCATTACGTGCTCAGCACTCACCTCCCCAACACCATCACGCTGCCAGAAAACCATTCATTAGGAACTAACAAAATGGCTCCCCAGCCCAGCACTTTCTCCGCCCTCCCTACCCTCCTGGAGAAATGGAAGCTACCTCCATACCAAAGATAATCCAGACCCCCCAAAGGCTTTGGCAGCCAACCTTACTCTTCCCTCTGAAGACAAATAAGTATCTCAAAGTAAGGCAAAGGGGAAAGGAAATGTACCAATCCCCCACAGCAACATCAAAGCTTTAACATAATCCCTAATGCCATCAGTTCTCTCCTTGGGGCATCCCAGGCACAAGGATAGTCTCACCTAAGCAAACACTGGTCCAGTGGCAATTGCTCCTCACTTCCCAAGGTGATCAAATGGCACACTTGTCTACAAAAGAAGAACATGTAAGGGATAGAGAGGAAGAAAAAGGCACAAAGGACACAAAACAGAGAGGCTGTGCATTTCTTAGGATATCCTCCCTCCCAAAAGTTTACTGTTCCACTTCTCCAAACCAGTGTGGTCTGGAAGACAATCAGATGAAGGCTTACTCCAGGCAAAGTAAAGCTAAAATGACAGTACTGAGCATGGCCACCAGAAAACAAGTAACTGAAGAGCCAAGGCATAACCTGGTACCACTCCCCTCACCACACTGTAGAAGCTTCAGGCTCATGTCAGCTGCAGCAGATCAGTTAAAAACTGCTGTGGCGCCCTTAGTCCTTCTGGGACATCCAGGCCAAGGCCACGAACATCACAGCAGGGACTCACCTGTGATGCTGAAATCCGTGACACTTCTTGCCGCCCTGTGAGGTCAGATGAGGAGACGTTGGCAGGAGCTCCTCGGTGTAACCTCATGCTGACCTTCCGCTCCCTGTCCACTCTTGAGATTGCTCTGGGGGACGTGTTTCCTGTTGGGGCAGAGAAACATGAGACAAGAATATCAGTCAATAGTTTCAGTTTCCAGCTAAGAACAGGGCTGGCATCACCCCCAGCTCTCCCACCCCACTCACCAGACTGTTGGATTCGGGAGGTGGGGGTAGAGGCCATGGGCTCGGTGACATTGCGAAGACGGTTGGCAGTGGCTCCAGCAGGAGGGCCGGGGGGCAGTGCTCGTGTGGCTGACCCCCGGAGTTGCCCCATCCTCTCTTCTCGCTCGTGCTCTCGCCGCTCCCGATCCATGTCCTCGGGGTTCCGGGCTGCTCCCTGAGGTGGAGATAAACCCCAATGCCAGGCACAGCTGTCAGGCAGGAGAGACAGCAGCAGCCCCGGACAGAAAACATACGGTGCTCCATCATGCCAAGAAAGCGGAGCTCCATCCCCAAAGACATGTTCTCCCCCCACCATCTTCCACTCCTCCCAGAGAAGGCCTCATTCTTCTCCATGAGGAAACAAGGAAGAAAGCATATGGTACTACAGCTGCTATTGCAATCCACATCTATGTACCACCTCCAAATATAGTTCTCTCCTGAAAAATTATCTCTAGCTACCGATAGATCTATTGACACACATGCTCCAGATGCTCACCTAATCCAACAGTAGCTATAACCCCCCCAATGAGCACCACCAAACAACTCTGCCTCTTTTCGCTCCACCTGGTTCCCTTTCTCAAACTGCTCACTAGGGGTAAGTACAAATGATGGGCAGTTTCCAACTTTCCTCCCCCATCTCAAGTGATATGAATCAACCCCTGCCCCTCCAGCCCTTTCTCCACACACACTCACAAATTTAAGCATGTTCCAGTCAAAGACGTAGTCGTAGGAGAAGCCTTGGCGGTGGAAGAGGTTGCGGAAGAGCTGCCGCAGGTACGAGTAGTCAGGTTTGTCATCAAACCTCAGTGAGCGGCAGAAGTTGAGGTATGTTGAGAACTCAGCTGGAGGGAACAGAGAACAGTTGGTCGTTGAACACCATCCAACCCCCCGGTCCCACCACAGAGCCACCGCAGCCTTTCAACTGCTGTGTGCTGGACCAGGATGGCACAAACACAGAGCTGCATAATGAAAAGGGAGCCTGAGGGTTGCAGTGCTTCGGCCACTGAGAAGACTCCATCCTTATTTTTACCAGAGGAAATGCTCATGCATCTCTCTCTTTTGTAGCTGCTTCTTCAAGCAAGAGGAAGCAAGTCACAGAGCCTGCTGAAGGAGAGTAGGAACGCAGCGCTAAAGAACAGGCAGAGGTGAGCTTTGGGAAGCCAGGCCTGTGTGGTGTGCAGTTCTGAGCAGTAGCACAGACAGAAAGGGACATGAACTGTGTAAGACTAGTTGGGCTTAGACCAGACCAGAGCTCTTCCTAGTCCAGTAGCCAGAAGTAGACAGCTGCAGAAGAGGAAGACCAGGGCAAGCATGTCTGACACTTATATTGACATAAGCCAAACTCCCACCTATTTTCAGCTCAGGGAGCTTCCTGATCTGGATGTGCTTTCTAATTATTTAATAACTCTCAGTGGATTTCTCTTCCATGTAGTTTTCCAATCTCTCCTCGAACTCCTGTAACCTTAAAAAATCCACACCATCTTCTGGGAAGGAGTTCCACACATCTGCTACTGGCTGTGTGAAGAACCACATCGTTTTGTTTTGAAGCTGGCAGGAACCAGCTTTGTTTCCCTTCCAATACAAGAACTGGGGCCACCAAATAATCAATTCCCATCCAAACTTCTAGAGGCACAGCGATAGTACAGACACTTCTATCACCTCTTTTCCAGGCTCCAGACCACTCACTTGTTGCCTGTATAGAAATCACCTCACCTCTGATCACCCTTCTGGCCCTTCCCTGGACCTTCTTCAGTACTACCCCATCTTTTTTGAAATAGTGGGATGCACCAGAGCTGCACGGTGCATGCAAGGTGCAAGTGGGCATGGGTTTACATACAATGTTTGTGCTTTTTTCTCTCCTAGTAATTCCTAACACCTGATCTGCTTTTTAGCCACTAAGTGCGAAGTTGATGCGTTTACAGCATCAACTGTAAATGCATCAACTGGACTAGATGGGGGACTGGATTACAGTATCTTTTGACATCCCTTCCAATCCCTAACATTCTGTGATTCTGTGATACAGAATCATCTATTGACACTGCAACAGTTCATTGCTGAGTGGCACTGGTCAGCTCAGAGCCCACTATTCTGCAGGTGACAAGAGGACCAAGCCTGCTACTCTACCCTCACATATATTACTCCACATTCACCTCTGAAGAGCTGCATTTGCCATTTCATTGCCTGGTTATTTCTGGGATTCATCACAGTTGGCCCTCATCTTCATTACCCAGAATAACTCAGGATCATCAGCAGACGTTCTCACCTCATAATACCCCACCCCCTTATAGACTTTTTCCAAGGTACTAAAGGTCCCTCTCAGCACCCTCATGCCCTTATTAACACAAGGCTTGGCTCTCCACAAAATCATGTTTCCCACTTCTGAACCAGAACTGCATCAATACAGGTCTCTCAACCTCCTTGTCACTAGTGTCAGCAGCATATCCTGGTCTGGGGGTACTGGGCATTTCCCTTCAGGACTCCAGACTCCATGGGGTTTCAGCAGTAGAGCAAGCCATGCACCAGACAAGACAGCCATCAAGATCAGAGCACTTACAAGGGTACCCTTTGCAGAGCACCTCAATGGGCGTGGACATCTTTTTCTCGCTGATCCTCTCGTACTTTTGGCGCTTGGTGGCAGCCTTGAGGCCCTGCCACGGCAGGGAGCCCAGGTTGAAATACATGAGCACGTAGCCCAGGCTTTCCAGGTCATCACGGCGACTTTGTTCTGTGGGAGGAAGTTACACAGGGGCAAGGAGTGAGCAGCAACCAAAACTGCTTTGGCAATCACACAGCTTTGGAGGTGAACATGCAACAAAAGAAACAACCTCTCTCTCTTCTTTGGTGGCTTTCTATGGATAGACAAACTTGTAGAAGACATTTCAGCACAAATTCTTGCAGGGATGATCGTAGTGCAAGAGTTACAGTGCTCCTCTCCCCATACAGCTCAACTCACTTCATAAATGAGTAATTACTCTGACTACCTCCTCATTTGGACAAGCCTTAATTCACACAAGAATTCAACAGCTCAAGAAGTGCTGCAGTGACACTGCCTACTTTGTTCTTCCTGGAGGAAGGGCACCTACACTTCTCCACCCAGAATGATACTTCACCCTGGGGATTAGTCATGGCAGAGGTAGTCACGGAAGGACAAAACTAACAGAGGTAAACCCAACACAACCCTTTCAAACACATCTTCTAATTAACCTGCTGATACTCTTCAGACAGGGCAGAAATGAGGAACCAGTGACCCCTCTTGCAGTAAATGACTTTGTTGATAGTTTAGAGATGCATTACTGTGCAAAGATCTTTCTGGATTGGTAGCATTTTTCAAGCTGTGGAGGAAAAAGGTATGAATACAGACATATACTTTGAACAAAAGGTTCTCCTCCAAACAGGGAATGACTGTGTAACTGGCATGACTACCAACCCTACTCAGAGCAAGGGCTGCCCTTCATATGCCATTGTAAAGGACTGCTTTTAGATACTTATTTACCAAACAAACAAACAAAAAGTTTCCCAAACAAAAACATTCCACATTGAACTTGCTCTCTGGAATGGCCAAGCCATTTTATGTTACAAGTTAGCTCGAGATGGAGTTAGTGCAGAATCTCAGCAACTGAAAATGTTGACTGGTTAACTTGTGGAACTCCTCCAACATGCTTACAAATTCATCTAGAAATTTTGCCGAGAAGCTCTTGCCCCTGTTCCCACTCTGACATAAAATAAACACTATGAAGAAAGTACTTTACAGCCCGAGAAGCACAATAACTTGCATAGATAAGCAAAACACACAGACAGGCTTGAGGGAGAGCATGGGGTAGAGGAAAAACTAATGAGATTTGTTTATTAGATTCATCTACACTACAGCACATTTTGTGGGATTCAGTGCCATGTCCTAGAAGATGTGGCAGATTGGCCTGTGGGTTAGTTCTCAGTATCAGTTACCTGCTACCACCCGCCCCGTCCAAAGGCCAGTAGATTGTTACAGCTACTCCTTTCTCTGATAGCTGAACTGAACCCTGACGAAGGAGTAGCTGCAGCAGGTCACAGATTGAGATGTCCAGACACACCAACACAAGCTGTGGGTCACCATGGGCCTTCTTGTCCTGCATCACTCTCATAACCTCCTAACGTTTTTGAGGACTAGGGGACTTGGCAAGTTAAAAGTATTAGGGGGAAAAAATAACACTGTGGTTGCAGAAGAAAAGGAGGGTGTCATCACTCCATAACCAAGAAGAGAGAGCCTTTGGCTCAAAGTACATGAAATGCCATAAAAACACCAGATTCCAAGACAGGAGTAGAGGAGAAAGCAGCCCTGCAGATCCCCAAGGTGCCTTACTTTGAACATACAGAAGTAACAGTATTTTCTGACCTCACTGACTGCTTCAAGTTGCCCACTTTAGAGAGGCTAATACTCCCTAATCTTATCAGGCTGCTACCAAAGATTACATGACTGGCTGGGATATGCTTAGATGCTATGAAGGGAAAAGGAAAAAAATCTACTTTTGCATTTAGCCTAAGGCTAGGATACGTATATTCTCAGAGGGCTGCGATTACACACCATGCACACCAAATAAATAAAACTAAACAATATTTGATAATGACCTATATCCTGAGACAGGAGGCCAGTGGAAACGGGAGTCAGAATGCACATCCAGGGCCTGAAAGCATAGGTGATCAAGGTAACCTCAATCATGCAATTTGCCAGCCCTCAGCTTATCCATGCTGTAGCTTTAAAGCCTGTAACTGAGGGTTCCCTGTC